AACCACACAGCAAGAATGATCCATCTGCTTCGCTGAATCCTCCTCCAAACATGCAAAACATCCGAATTAAAGGCAAAATGCATTGTTTCTTACCACACACTACCATGATGCAATGTGAGAAACAAACATTGACGTCATTAAAGATCCACTTACTGGTTTGGCCCTATCATTGACTCAGGGATAAACCCACTAGCGATAGCTTTAACCTCCTAAGAGCATGTGTCGACATATGTGGACATTTTTTCTCTTTTACCTGATATTAACTTTAAGTTAAAAACATTTCCTTTTGGGATGGGGGGGGGGGGGGGGGCTGAGGTCAGGTAGAGCAGTCACATGATCGTTTGGTTACCAGTCAGGTAGAAAAACAGCCACCAACATTGAGCTGAGCAGCAAGGGTTAGAGGAGGAAAAGATCGGTGGTTCCGATTTTCAGCAGAACATCGGTTCAGCTGCAGCGTCCTCGTCCGGACCAATCAGGTTTTACTCACCCGATCACCTGAACAGCATCTTTCAGCTGAGAGTCGCTGAGCAGAGAGTCAGCGATGCTCCAGTCGCCGTCTGCCGCAATGATGCCGATGTGGGTAAGACCCACTTTATCCAGAACGTTCCTCAGCACCTTGGTAACAAACACATGTTCTCACAGGAACGCAGCAGAGCTCAGCTCAACATGAGTGGCTGTTCTCCTCCGGTACGTACACACACACACACACACACACACACACACACACACACACACGCACAACACGCACACACACGCACACGCACGCACGCGCACGCGCACACACGCACACACGCACACGCACACACGCACACACACACACAGACACAGACACACGCACACGCACACACACGCACGCGCACGCACACGCGCACGCACACGCACAGACACACGCACGCACGCACGCACGCACACACACACACACACACACACACACGCACACGCAGACACAGACAAACGCATGCACACACACGCACGCGCACGCGCACACGCAGACACAGACACAGACGCACGCACGCACGCACGCACACGCACACACACGCACACACACACACACACACCTACCTTGATGTACTTGGCATCAAACGCTCTCTCGTTCCAATCTGATCAGAGGAAAAAGAGGTTTAGTTTTAGAAGCAGGAGGTCTCAGATCACCGTGACCCAGTCACTGGTTCTGTCTCCAGCAGACACACACAACCATCAGAACACGGTCTCCGTCACACGTCTGGAACTCACTTCCTGCTAATAAATGAAGACAAACGTTATTTTACATTAAAACAGTTTTCAAAGGAAACACTTTTATTTTGATAGTTTAGAACAGGAACCGGGACCGGGTTTAGAACAGGAACCGGGACCCAGTTTAGAACAGGAACCGGGACCGGGTTTAGAACAGGAACCGGGACCGGGTTTAGAACAGGAACCGGGACCGGGTTTAGAACAGGAACCGGACCCAGTTTAGAACAGGAACCGGGACCGGGGTTTAGAACAGGAACCGGGACCGGGTTTAGAACAGGAACCGGGTTTAGAACTGGAACCGTGTATATAACAGGAACCGGGACCGGGGTTTAAAACAGGAACCAGGACCCGGTTTAGAACAGGAACCGTGTATATAACAGGAACCGGGACCCAATTTAGAACAGGAACCAGGACTGGGTTTAGAACAGGAACTGGGTTTAGAACTGGAACCGTGTATATAACAGGAACCGGGACCGGGTTTAAAACAGGAACCAGGACCCGGTTTAGAACAGGAACCGTGTATATAACAGGAACCGGGACCGGGTTTAGAACAGGAACCGGGACCGGGTTTAGAACAGGAACCGGGTTTAGAACTGGAACCGTGTATATAACAGGAACCGGGACCGGGTTTAAAACAGGAACCAGGACCCGGTTTAGAACAGGAACCGTGTATATAACAGGAACCGGGACCCAATTTAGAACAGGAACCAGGACTGGGTTTAGAACAGGAACCGGGTTTAGAACTGGAACCGTGTATATAACAGGAACCGGGACCGGGTTTAAAACAGGAACCAGGACCCGGTTTAGAACAGGAACCGTGTATATAACAGGAACCGGGACCCAATTTAGAACAGGAACCGGGACTGGGTTTAGAACAGGAACTGGGACTGGGTTTAGAACAGGAACCGGGACCGGGTTTAGAACTGGAACCGTGTATAAAACAGGAACCAGGACCCGGTTTAGAACAGGAACCGGGACCGGGTTTAGAACAGGAACCGGGACCGGGTTTAGAACTGGAACCGTGTATAAAAGAGGAACAAGGACCCGGTTTAGAACAGGAACCGGGACCGGGTTTAGAACAGGAACCAGGACCGGGTTTAGAACAGGAACCGGGACCGGGTTTAGAACTGGAACCGAGACTGGGTTTAGAACTGGAACCGGGTTTAGAACAGGAACCGTGTATAAAACAGGAACCAGGACCCGGTTTAGAACAGGAACCGGGACCGGGTTTAGAACAGGAACTGGGTTTAGAACTGGAACCGTGTATAAAACAGGAACCAGGACCGGGTTTAGAACAGGAACCGGGACCGGGTTTAGAACAGGAACCGGGTTTAGAACTGGAACCGTGTATATAACAGTAACCGGGACCGGGTTTAAAACAGGAACCAGGACCCAGTTTAGAACAGGAACCAGGACCCGGTTTAGAACAGGAACCGGGACCGGGTTTAGAACAGGAACCAGGACCCAGTTTAGAACTGGAACCGTGTATAAAACAGGAACCAGGACCCGGTTTAGAACAGGAACGAGGACCCAGTTTAGAACTGGAACCGTGTATAAAACAGGAACCAGGACCCGGTTTAGAACAGGAACGAGGACCGGGTTTAGAACTGGAACCGTGTATATAACAGGAACCGGGACCGGGTTTACAACAGGAACCGGGACCGGGTTTAAAACAGGAACCCGGACCGGGTTTAGAACAGGAACTGAGACCGGGTTTAGAACAGGAACCGGGACCGGGTTTAGAACAGGAACCGGGACCGGGTTTAGAACAGGAGCCGGGTTTAGAACAAGAACCGGGACCGGGTTTAGAACAGGAACCGGGACTGGGTTTAGAACTGGAACCAGGTTTAGAACAGGAACCGGGACCAGGTTTAGAACAGGAACCGGGTTTAGAACAGGAACCGGGACCAGGTTTAGAACAGGAACCGCGTTTAGAACAGGAACCGGGACTCGGTTTAGAACAGGAACCGGGACCGTGTTTAGAGCAGGAACCGGGACTGGGTTTAGAACTGGAACCGTGTATAAAACAGAAACCAGGACCCAGTTTAGAACAGGAACCAGGACCGGGTTTAGAACAGGAACCGGGACCGTGTTTAGAACAGGAACTGGGCCTGGGTTTAGAACTGGAACCGGGTTTAGAACAGGAACCGTGTATAAAACAGGAAACAGGACCCGGTTTAGAACAGGAACCGGGACCGGGTTTAGAACAGGAACCGGGACCGGGTTTAGAACAGGAACCGGGACTGGGTTTAGAACTGGAACCGGGTTTAGAACAGGAACCGTGTATAAAACAGGAACCAGGACCCGGTTTAGAACAGGAACCGGGACCGGGTTTAGAACAGGAACCGGGACTTGGTTTAGAACAGGAACTGGGACCGGGTTTAGAACAGGAACCGGGACTGGGTTTAGAACAGGAACTGGGACTGGGTTTAGAACTGGAACCAGGTTTAGAACAGGAACTGGGACCAGGTTTAGAACAGGAACCGGGTTTAGAACTGGAACCGTGTATATAACAGGAACCGGGACCGGGTTTAAAACAGGAACCAGGACCAGGTTTAGAACAGGAACCGGGTTTAGAACAGGAACCGGGACCCGGTTTAGAACAGGAACCGGGACCGTGTTTAGAGCAGGAACTGGGACTGGGTTTAGAACTGGAACCGTGTATAAAACAGGAACCAGGACCCGGTTTAGAACAGGAACTGGGACCGGGTTTAGAACAGGAACCGGGACTGGGTTTAGAACAGGAACCGGGACCGGGTTTAGAACAGGAACCGGGTTTAGAACAAGAACCGGGATTAGAACAGGAACCGGGACTGGGTTTAGAACTGGAACCAGGTTTAGAACAGGAACCGGGACCAGGTTTAGAACAGGAACCGGGTTTAGAACTGGAACTGGGACCGGGTTTAGAACAGGAACCGGGTTTAGAACAGGAACCGGGACCAGGTTTAGAACAGGAACCGGGTTTAGAACAGGAACTGGGACCCGGTTTAGAACAGGAACCGGGACCGTGTTTAGAGCAGGAACCGGGACTGGGTTTAGAACTGGAACCGTGTATAAAACAGAAACCAGGACCCAGTTTAGAACAGGAACCGGGACCGGGTTTAGAACAGGAACCGGGACAGGGTTTAGAACAGGAACTGGGACTGGGTTTAGAACTGGAACCGGGTTTAGAACAGGAACCGTGTATAAAACAGGAACCAGGACCCGGTTTAGAACAGGAACCGGGACCGGGTTTAGAACAGGAACCGGGTTTAGAACAGGAACTGGGACTGGGTTTAGAACTGGAACCGGGTTTAGAACAGGAACCGTGTATAAAACAGGAACCAGGACCCGGTTTAGAACAGGAACTGGGACCAGGTTTAGAACAGGAACCGGGACTGGGTTTAGAACAGGAACCAGGACCGGGTTTAGAACAGGAACCGGGACTGGGTTTAGAACAGGAACTGGGCCTCGGTTTAGAACTGGAACCAGGTTTAGAACAGGAACTGGGACCAGGTTTAGAACAGGAACCGGGTTTAGAACTGGAACCGTGTATATAACAGGAACCGGGACCGGGTTTAAAACAGGAAACAGGACCCGGTTTAGAACTGGAACCAGGTTTAGAACAGGAACTGAGACCAGGTTTAGAACAGGAACCGGGTTTAGAACAGGAACCGTGTATATAACAGGAACCAGGACCCGGTTTAGAACAGGAACCGGAACCGGGTTTAGAACAGGAACTGGGACCGGGTTTAGAACAGGAACCGGGACTGGGTTTAGAACAGGAACCGGGACCGGGTTTAGAACAGGAACCGGGTTTAGAACAAGAACCGGGATTAGAACAGGAACCGGGACTGGGTTTAGAACTGGAACCAGGTTTAGAACAGGAACCGGGACCAGGTTTAGAACAGGAACCGGGTTTAGAACTGGAACTGGGACCGGGTTTAGAACAGGAACCGGGTTTAGAACAGGAACCGGGACCAGGTTTAGAACAGGAACCGGGTTTAGAACAGGAACTGGGACCCGGTTTAGAACAGGAACCGGGACCGTGTTTAGAGCAGGAACCGGGACTGGGTTTAGAACTGGAACCGTGTATAAAACAGAAACCAGGACCCAGTTTAGAACAGGAACCGGGACAGGGTTTAGAACAGGAACTGGGACTGGGTTTAGAACTGGAACCGGGTTTAGAACAGGAACCGTGTATAAAACAGGAACCAGGACCCGGTTTAGAACAGGAACCGGGACCGGGTTTAGAACAGGAACCGGGTTTAGAACAGGAACTGGGACTGGGTTTAGAACTGGAACCGGGTTTAGAACAGGAACCGTGTATAAAACAGGAACCAGGACCCGGTTTAGAACAGGAACCGGGACCGGGTTTAGAACAGGAACCGGGACTGGGTTTAGAACAGGAACCGGGACCGGGTTTAGAACAGGAACCGGGACTGGGTTTAGAACAGGAACTGGGCCTCGGTTTAGAACTGGAACCAGGTTTAGAACAGGAACTGGGACCAGGTTTAGAACAGGAACCGGGTTTAGAACTGGAACCGTGTATATAACAGGAACCGGGACCGGGTTTAAAACAGGAACCAGGACCCGGTTTAGAACTGGAACCAGGTTTAGAACAGGAACTGGGACCAGGTTTAGAACAGGAACCGGGTTTAGAACAGGAACCGTGTATATAACAGGAACCAGGACCCGGTTTAGAACAGGAACCGGGACCGGGTTTAGAACAGGAACCGGGACTGGGTTTAGAACTGGAACCGGGTTTAGAACAGGAACCGGGACCCGGTTTAGAACAGGAAATGGGACCGGGTTTAGAACCGGAACCGGGTTTAGAACAGGAACCGGGTTTAGAACCGGGACCAGGTTTAGAACAGGAACCGGGTTTAGAACAGGAACAGTGTATATAACAGGAACCGGGACCCGGTTTAGAACAGGAACCGGGACCGGGTTTAGAACAGGAACCGTGTATACAACAGGAACCGGGACCCGGTTTAGAACAGGAAATGGGACCGGGTTTAGAACCGGAACCGGTTTAGAACAGGAACCGGGACCGGGTTTAGAACCGGAACCTGGTTTAGAACAGGAACCGGGTTTAGAACAGGAACCGGGACCAGGTTTAGAACAGGAACCGGGACCGGGTTTAGAACAGGAACAGTGTATATAACAGGAACCGGGACCCGGTTTAGAACAGGAACCGGGACCGGGTTTAGAACAGGAACCGTGTATAAAACAGGAACCGGGATCCGGTTTAGAACAGGAAATGGGACCGGGTTTAGAACTGGAACCGGGTTTAGAACAGGAACCGGGACCGGGTTTAGAACCGGGACCGGGTTTAGAACAGGAACCGGGACTGGGTTTAGAACAGGAACCGGGACCGGGTTTAGAACAGGAACCGGGACTGGGTTTAGAACTGGAACCAGGTTTAGAACAGGAACCGTGTATATAACAGGAACCGGGTTTAGAACAGGAACCGTGTATATAACAGGAACCGGGACCCGGTTTAGAACAGGAACCGGGACCGGGTTTAGAACAGGAACCGTGTATATAACAGGAACCGGGACCCGGTTTAGAACAGGAACCGGGACCGGGTTTAGAACCGGAACCGGGACCGGGTTTAGAACAGGAACCGGGACCGGGTTTAGAACAGGAACAGTGTATATAACAGGAACCGGGACCCGGTTTAGAACAGGAACCGGGACCGGGTTTAGAACAGGAACCGGGTTTAGAACCGGGACCGGGTTTAGAACCGGAACCTGCTGAGGTTTGAGGGCCGTTTCTTTTTGTCTCAACAGGAAGTCGGATGATATTTTCTCTCAGGTGGGTTTCAGACCTGCTGAGAATCAGAACCTCAGATGGACTCGAGTGAGACGAGGATCTGTACACACCCCCACATACTGGATGTCCAGGTCGTGGTACTGCTTGGCTCCCAGAATCCAGTTCACCACATAGGACACAGTAACATCTGGGTGGTCATAGGGCCAGTTCTTCCCCCGGCCCACCCACCCAGGAAAGGCCCACGGCAAACCTGCACCGACAGGAGATACGTAGGTCAGGTTCTGAGCAGGTTCTGCTGTGGTCTCGTTTACCTGCAGAGCAGATCCTCACCGATCAGCGTTATGTTGGGGTTCCTCTTCTTTGCTTCCTTCATCAGCCACCACTCGTATCCTCGGAAGTAGTTCTCATCGTTCTCATAGTGCATGTGGGACGGCTCGGTTCCATCTGAACCAAAACCAGAACAGGAAGAATTTGGGTTTACCTGAGCCTGCTCGGTGGGCAGACACCTGGAGGCTGTTGGACTGGTATTTCCTAACTAAAGCTAAGATGGAAGCAGATTCCAGACGGTCTCAGGTCCATTTGACCTTTAGACTTTTTAATCAGACCTCCAATCCATTTACTCAGCCGCTCAGCTGACTAGGAAAACCCGGTTTGGGAGATGAGTGGAGTCTGCTCCCGTCACCGACCGATGAGGTCATAAAGTAAAGAGGAAATGATGAACATATCACCTGTTGTCTGAGCGTCTCCTCCTATCTCCACCTTTAGAATGTGCAGAGAAGCTCCAAAGTTGGGCTGCAGGGAAAACAGGAACATCAGATAACACAGCAGGAACCTGTCACCCATCCTACCAAAATAAAAGCACAGTCAGAAGATCTCAGAGTCCCTTAAATAAGACCCAGACGTTGGACTGGAGATCTCTTCCTGCTCTTACTTTGGTAGGATGGGTTAGGGTATAAACATGGGTGTGAGTTTATTACGCTGTAATAAACAGGCTGGTTGAGCACTGGGACCAAGAGGTCAGCTAGAATCTGATGTGAATTAGCTCCATTGATCAGATATTCAGAAATAAGTGTGAAATGGTGACGATGACAGAATTGAAAGTATTAGTTTTATGTTTTCAGCCACACATCCATAAAAGAGCCACTAAACTGGTTTTATACTTTATTTTGTAAACTTACTGTAGACCCCCCCCCCCCCCCCCCCCCCCCACACACACACACACACACACCCGGTCCTCATCATGCCGGTTGTGTCCCCCCCACTTCTAAGTCAAAACTACGTCCATGCACATAAATGTAGTCAGAACCAGACTGATCTTTAAATATTTATCAGATAAAATTACTGGAGCTGCTTCTTCGGGTTGGACCGGAACCCGGTACCGTTCGGACTCACCTTGAACAGGAAGTCCAATATCTGGCTCCGGTACGGCTCCTCGTAGTTGACCAGTAAGCGGGATGTGGCCTGAAGAAGCAACAGAAGACGTAAGACCCGAACCGGTCGAACCGAACCCGGAAGTAGGAACGCAACTCACCCCTCCGCCGCTCAGACCACCAATCCCGTCAAAGACTCTCCCCAGACCCCCGACATCCGTCAGCACGTAGTCCTTCCCGGAGCAGGAGCCGCCGGACAGCAGCAGCAGGACAGCCGACAGGGACACCGGAGACAGCGGACCGCCCATCACCAACACCCGAACTCTCCGGGCGCGAACCCGAACGCTCTTATAAACGCGCGGGATCACGTGACAAATCTGCTGAGTGGTCACGTGCAGGCGGAGCGCGTGGATATTCTAATCAATAAACGCATAAAAATAAATAAAAGAATACGCGTGCGTGTTTACATCGCGGAAGTCGGAACGTCCGACGATCACCGGGCGCGCTTGCAGGTTAAAAACAGGAAGTGAAAAGTGACCGGTGGTTAGTCACGTGACCGTCGAGAAGCCCGTCTCCGTGGCAACGCGTGACCAGCAGAACAACCGAGCCGAACAATGTCGGAACCGCAGAGGGAGAGCGTGACACGGGCCAGAAGAGTTTTTCTCAACAACATTGACTCATACTCGTCCAGAACCATCACCAAGGTACCGCTAACAGAGTCCGGTCCGGTGTCTACTCGGTAGTAACCTCCGTGTTCCGTAGGTTCTAAGTGAGGAGCCGGAGAATGCGAGCCAGCTGAGCAGAACCGAAACCTTCCAGGTCGTTGGGACGGGTTCTGACCGGTCCGGTGACGCCAGGCTGCAGGTGCGCTGTTGTTAAACATCTTTAGGGGGTTCACGTGTTTCCACCGATGTCTTTCATGTCTTTGAAGTTTCAGTTTCACTTCGGATCAAAGGAGAAACGTAACATATCTGTTATGTTTATATCTATGGCCTCATGGGAACGGTGTTGTGCCATAAAGCGACTGGCTGCCAAAAAATGATTAGCCACCGCGGGATCGCGCACGGTTAGGGAAATTGCATGTAAGTAATATATTGCAAGTAATATTTAGGTCACTTTAACCCCTTACTGGTGACCAGGACACCGTAATCAACTTTTGGCAAGTGAAATGGTCATTTTTGGCCATTTTTGGGGTGTTTATGATGATACAGTAGACAGTATGAGTACAATTACATCAACAGATAATACATAAAACCCTTATTTGGTCAATTTTAGCCTCCATGAAAAACTGAGCGATTCAATCACTTTTTGGCAAGTAAAATGCCTTTTTTGTTGTCTAAAATTAAATCATCAATAAAGAATTTAAAGATATTTTGAGGCGTTTCTTATAGGTAAACAGGAGGGTATAGTCACTATTTGGCAAGTGACAATCTTAATTTTATGTGCTTTAGTGCTTTTTTTTTGTTACTTTTAAATAGAGCAACGTAATGTATAGATAGTAACCTACACAGTGTCATTAAAGCCAAAGCTTCAGCAGTTTAAATACTATTTTTCAAGTAAAAATGTGCCCCAAACTAGTTAACAGTGGCTCCATGTCAAGTGGACTAAAGAAAGGAAGGGGAAAAAATCAAATCGCTGGAGAATTGTTTATTTACATTTATACGGCGTTTGACTTTACATTCAATACAGGGCGCCATTTTACATAGTTTATTTTTTAGTATCAAGGCTGTAACATAAAGAAAGCCAGTTCTTACCACAAACCATCTTTCAATCGCAAATATTGCAAAAAGGATTAATATATCCTCATTGTGAACGTTTAAGACAAATAGCAACACTTAAAACAACTTCTGAACTGGAAAAACTAATATCCACGATAAACATCTGTTTAAGTACCGGACGAGGTTATCCCTGCATTCTCAATTTCCATATTGCTAGATATGCCGAGTTTTAAGGCGAAATCCCGGGGAATTTTGTCTAGAAATGCAATTACCCTAACCGTGCGCGATCCAACGGTGGCTAATCATTTTTTGGCAGCCAGTCGATTTATGGTTCAACACCGGCTAGGCTGGATCATATGCTGTACTGCCACTCTGCCTTTTCTAGATCTAACCCCAACATTTAACTGAACCCAAAAGGTTTTAGACAGCAAACATTTTTCATATAAACAAATATCAGTCCGCCTGTCGGCTGACCCCGCTGGAACGGCCAGGTGTTCTGTCCGACAGGTGCGCCTCTGTGCAGTTTATTAGTTCACAGATGCGCAGGTGCGCAAAACAACTAATGCACCAATAAGTAATTCAAGTAAGCCAGTCACTGCAAACAAAAGAGAGGAGGACAGTTTATTTACTATTGCGTCTGTGGTGCTGAAACGCATCACCTGCGTTATTGGATGATCTGATTAATTATATAAAACAACTGGTTGTTAGCCTTTAAAATAAACAATAGTGAACTAATGATAACACCTAATATTAGCTAAAAGTTAACCATTTGGGGGCTTTTAAGAGGAGATCCTTTCAGGAAAGCCGATCTCTGGGGCACACCCCTCCCGCATTAATAATGCGGGAATGCCTGAAGTATTTCGTGGTCACAAATTAATAACTCGTTATACGCATTAATATCTCCTGAACACGAATTAATAACTTGTTCTTACGCATTAATATCTCCTGGACACGAATTAATTACTCATTCTTACACATTAATAATGTGGGAATGCCTTAAGTATTTCGTGGTCACAAATTAATAACTCGTTATACGCATTAACATCTCCTGGACACGAATTAATTACTCATTCTTACACATTAATAATGTGGGAATGCCTTAAGTATTTCGTGGTCACAAATTAATAACTCGTTATACGCATTAACATCTCCTGGACACGAATTAATAACTCGTTCTTATGCATTAATAACGCCTGGACATGAATTAATTACTCATTCTTACACATTAATAATGTGGGAATGCCTTAAGTATTTCGTGGTCACAAATTAATAACTCGTTATACGCATTAACATCTCCTGGACACGAATTAATAACTCATTCTTATGCATTAATAACGCCTGGACATGAATTAATTACTCATTCTTACACATTAATAATGTGGGAATGCCTTAAGTATTTCGTGGTCACAAATTAATAACTCGTTATACGCATTAACATCTCCTGGACACGAATTAATTACTCATTCTTACACATTAATAATGTGGGAATGCCTTAAGTATTTCGTGGTCACAAATTAATAACTCGTTATACGCATTAACATCTCCTGGACACGAATTAATAACTCGTTCTTATGCATTAATAACGCCTGGACATGAATTAATAACTCGTTCTTACACATTAATATCTCCTGGACACGAATTAATTACTCATTCTTACACATTAATAATGTGGGAATGCCTTAAGTATTTCGTGGTCACGAATTAATAACTCGTTATACGCATTAACATCTCCTGGACACAAATTAATTACTCATTCTTACACATTAATAATGTGGGAATGCCTTAAGTATTTCGTGGTCACAAATTAATAACTCGTTATACGCATTAACATCTCCTGGACACGAATTAATAACTCTTTCTTATGCATTAATAACGCCTGGACATGAATTAATTACTCATTCTTACACATTAATAATGGGAATGCCTTAAGTATTTCGTGGTCACAAATTAATAACTCGTTATACGCATTAATATCTCCTGAACACGAATTAATAACTCGTTCTTACGCATTAATATCTCCTGGACACGAATTAATAACTCGTTCTTACACATTAATATCTCCTGGACACGAATTAATTACTCATTCTTACACATTAATAATGGGAATGCCTTAAGTATTTTGTGGTCACAAATTAATAACTCAATATACGCATTAATATCTCCTGGACACGAATTAATAACTCGTTCTTACGCATTAATATCTCCTGGACACGAATTAATTACTCATTCTTACACATTAGTAATGTGGGAATGCCTTAAGTATTTCGTGGTCACAAATTAATAACTCGTTATACGCATTAATATCTCCTGGAGACAAATTAATAACTCATTCTTACACATTAGTAATGTGGGAATGCCTTAAGTATTTCGTGGTCACAAATTAATAACTCGTTATACTCATTAATATCTCCTGGAGACAAATTAATAACTCATTCTTACACATTAATAATGTGGGAATGCCTTAAGTATTTCGTGGTCATAAATTAATTACTCGTTATACACATTAATATCTCATGGACACGAATTAATTACTCGTTCTTACGCATTAATATCTCCTGGACACGAATTAATTACTCATTCTTACACATTAATAAAGTGGGAATGCCTTAAGTATTTCGTGGTCACAAATTAATAACTCGATATACGCATTAATATCTCCTGGACATGAATTAATAACTCATTCTTACGCATTAATAACGCCTGGACATTAATTAATTACTCATTCTTACACATTAATAATGGGAATGCCTTAAGTATTTCGTGGTCACAAATTAATAACTCGTTATACGCATTAATATCTCCTGAACACGAATTAATAACTCGTTCTTACGCATTAATATCTCCTGGACACGAATTAATAACTCGTTCTTACACATTAATATCTCCTGGACACGAATTAATTACTCATTCTTACACATTAATAATGGGAATGCCTTAAGTATTTTGTGGTCACAAATTAATAACTCAATATACGCATTAATATCTCCTGGACACGAATTAATAACTCGTTCTTACGCATTAATATCTCCTGGACACGAATTAATTACTCATTCTTACACATTAGTAATGTGGGAATGCCTTAAGTATTTCGTGGTCACAAATTAATAACTCGTTATACGCATTAATATCTCCTGGAGACAAATTAATAACTCATTCTTACACATTAGTAATGTGGGAATGCCTTAAGTATTTCGTGGTCACAAATTAATAACTCGTTATACTCATTAATATCTCCTGGAGACAAATTAATAACTCATTCTTACACATTAATAATGTGGGAATGCCTTAAGTATTTCGTGGTCATAAATTAATTACTCGTTATACACATTAATATCTCATGGACACGAATTAATTACTCGTTCTTACGCATTAATATCTCCTGGACACGAATTAATTACTCATTCTTACACATTAATAAAGTGGGAATGCCTTAAGTATTTCGTGGTCACAAATTAATAACTCGATATACGCATTAATATCTCCTGGACATGAATTAATAACTCATTCTTACGCATTAATAACGCCTGGACATTAATTAATTACTCATTCTTACACATTAATAATGGGAATGCCTTAAGTGTTTCATGGTCACAAATTAATAACTCGTTATACGCATTAATATCTCCTGGACACGAATTAATAACTCATTCTTACACATTAATAATGTGGGAATGCCTTAAGTATTTTGTGGTCACAAATTAATAACTCGATATACGCATTAATATCTCCTGGACATGAATTAATAACTCATTCTTACGCATTAATAACGCCTGGACATTAATTAATTACTCATTCTTACACATTAATAATGGGAATGCCTTAAGTGTTTCATGGTCACAAATTAATAACTCGTTATATGCATTAATATCTCCTGGACACGAATTAATTACTCGTTCTCATGCATTAATATCTCCTGGAAACGAATTAATTACTCATTCTTACACATTAATAACTCGCTCTTACGCATTAATAACGCCTGGACATGAGTTAATAGCTCGTTTTACGCATTAATATCTCCTGGACACGAATTAATAACTCGCTCTTACGCATTAATAACGCCTGGACATGAGTTAATAACTCGTTTTACGCATTAATATCTCCTGGACACGAATTAATAACTCGTTCTTACGCATTAATATCTCCTGG